TCAAAATAGGTTCCTCAACTTGTACAAATTAGATTTACCCGACAAATCGAATTCTTCTCGTAACTATAGCATATTTGGTTGCAAATTTGTATGCAATTTTTCGAGCAAGGTGTATTAATCTTTGCAGTCTTCAAAACGTTTAAATATGTAGTTTCCAAAGATATTCAATTAGCACACTCCAAATACTTATTGCACAGTATTTTTCACTCTTATGTACTGTATGTTCTTCATCAAGCCGAGTAGAACCTCGCTCATCAACTGGCTCTTAAAAGTCAAGAACCTATAACGTTGCCTTGTGATAAAGTGCAATTTTTAGGATTAAAATATGCATGATGTACTCTAAGCGTGTCGTTTCTGATTAATGACTTTAAGTCACTCACGCGCAATTCAAGACGCTACAGTTGAAATCTTACAATGTGAACGTATATCTGCTTGATTGTGCTACACTATCTCTCTAATAAATAGCATTTTGAGTAAAGAGTGGATTTAAGATTATTGTAAATAACTCTTCCAAAAAAAAAGAGATCACGTGATTGGCCGTTCCCTCATTCTAAAAGTCCTACAAAACTATCATTTGTCAAATATTACTCACTTATTTTGCATTTGACGAGGGCACAATGAGGATCGTGATGAGATTCGGGATTGTTGTCAAACTCGAACCTATCCGATAACTGTGACAGTTCGCGTCGGGCAGCTTCGGGCAGTGAGGGCTTACTCTGAGATTGTAAACTGATTTGACTTCAACCAGAACGACGCATCATTGATCACTTACTCCATTTCCCTGCACATTTGCAACAGCCTCCATAGGAGTGGGCAAGAAATCATCCATGTTGTACAGATCATCGACACCGGGTTGCTCAGCAGAGCCTGCGCTGCCGGCACTGCCATTGTTACCGCCAGCTCCAGGCGCGGCCATCACAGGAGTTGTGGTGGTCGACGTTGTTGGACCTGAGCAAAGCGGCAATGTAACAACACCGCTTAGCGGTTGGCATGGAGCTGGAATCGGCTCAAAC